GCTAATTGGCCTTACCTTGCGCGCGAGGTGCATCTTCTCAACGAGAAATACCTGCATATGTGAAGCGCCTCATCAAAACGTATTTACGGTGTCTCCTCACTCCCCCCCTCCCCCTCTGCTTATGTTTCACAGTCCGTTTCTTTGGTCTCAGCCCCCCGTCCCCGATATTTGTACCATGCGTTTTAGTTTCCCACCGCCAGCATCCCCTCCTCCGCACACCTGCCGTACAAAATACACCCACCGCTACCCCCAACTTGTACTCCTTAACTCCCACAGTTGAATACGCTGATCGTTGTACTGTCTACTTATTATGTACTCTGTGTTATTGACTGTACAGCATTTGTGATTTTGCACCCAGAGCCCGATAATTCGCGTTAATAATACTCTCGCTTACTTCAAAAAAAGTGTTGTCAGATTCCGGGAAATTGTACCCGGAGATGCGAGGCATCCGTGCCATCCACCACCAATACTACCCTCAGCACCCTGTGAGAACGATGAGCACCTCCACATCTCGGTCTTTTGCATCCTTGCCCTCACCAGAACGCACCGCGGAGCTATACACAGCCCTCACTGAGATCCGTGCTCGTATCTCTGTCGCCAGCGCATCCAACTCGCCGCCACAACGCCCACCAACCCTCGTAGCCGTGTCCAAATTCAAACCCGCGGAGGACCTGCGTGCATGTTACGACGCCGGACAACGCGATTTTGGAGAGAACTATGCACAGCAGCTCGTAGAGAAGGCGTCTGTGCTACCACGCGACGTACGATGGCATTTCATCGGTACTGTACAGTCTAACAAGGCGAAAGTACTCGCAGGTCTGTATCTCCCTGGGCCTCCCTCCATCCCACCCTCCCTTTCCCCACCTTTTTTTTCTTTTCTTCTTTTGTTGTGTGATTGATTGACTGATTGACTGATTGATTGATTGATTGATTGATGGTGGGGTGGTGGATGCTAGGTATAGAAAACTTGTACGCGGTACAAACGGTTGCTAGCGCTAAATGTGCCGATGCGCTTAATCGTTATCGAGCGATGGAACATGGACCTCTTCGCGTGTTCATCCAGCTTAACACGTCGGGAGAACAGACGAAAGCTGGAATCGACTTGACTTCAATATCATCATCACCCACCGCTGCTGCCACCACCACCACCACCACCACCACCACCACCACCGCTGCCGGAGCGACAAAAGGCGAAAGCGAAGAAAATGCGGACGGCGTAGGCGCAAGCGAGGGCGCGGGCGCGGGTGAAAGTGAGGGAGGAACGCGAACGCGAACACGAACTGGAGCTGGAGCAGAAGCAGAAGCAGATGAGAAGTTGGCTCAACTCGCGACGCATATCATTCGTTCATGTCCACGTCTACATCTCGTTGGTCTTATGACGATCGGTAAACCCGACGGTGGAGAAGAAGATTTTGTAGCGTTGAGGGAAGCTCGGGATCGGCTTGTACGCGATTTGCCGGATGATGAAGGTGTTTGGGGCGAGGGCGAGGATGCGGGTTTGGATTTGAATTTAGGTCAGGGTGGAGAGGGAGAGAGAGAGGGAGAGGGAGAGAAGACGCATAGGCGTACGCGTACGTGTGGGAGGAGATTGTTGTTGAGCATGGGTATGTCTCACGATTTTGAGCTGGCGCTGAGGGCAGGTGCGGATGTCGTACGCGTTGGGACGGGAATCTTTGGTGCGCGGCCGCCGAAGACAGGAGCAGCACCTGCTGAACAACCGTAAAGAATTATTACAGTAGTAGCAAATGTACATTAGGGTTGTTCACGGTGGGCGTTTCTGTTTTCATAACCACGACAGATTTCACGCTGCCATCCATACAGTAGAACTTTTGATCCAATGTGAGGTGATGAGTGCTGTTGCCAAGACCCCCTCAACTGTTCGGTCCAGATATCTCATTCATTCATTACTCAATTGTCAAAAAAATCATACACAGTACCTAGTGACACATGTTAGCATATTATGAATGTTTTTATTGGTGAAAATTGAACAGTGTGGTGAAGGTAAAAAAAAAGTCACTCCGTCAAACAGTGACGACAACTTCTATTTGGTACAAAATCGCTTATCTTATCAGATCCCCAATCAAAAATGTCACGATGCTGACTACTGTAATCGAAGCGGCCTAGCCGAGTTCCAAATCACCCGGTGACAATACATGACTGAACCGTTGAGGGCGCCGTCGAGGTGTAAGGCATAGTAACAATTGCTTCACGGAGCCCATAAATAGCATCCACGCCCGCCGCGCGGAACCGGCCATGGCACGGATAGCATAGCTGCTAGCGCCGCGGAACGCATGAGGACGCGTGTGGATACGATCGCCGCGGATACGGTGTTCCGAGTCGACGCACACGTACAGCGTAAAGAGCGTCACCATGAAGCACGATAGCACGGTCGACGCCGATATCATGAACGCGATTATCATCTGCAGTCGTGCTGCTTGATTGACGTCGGCACCGCCAAGGATTGCACCCGTCATCATACCCGGCATGGAGATAATGCCTATCACGCTGTAATTAAAGCGATAAGCGACTTGGGAACGGGAGTGAGTAGTATGCGCGCTGGTTGTTTACCTCATTTGGTTGATGGTTGGCGTCAGGGCGAGACGCAAAGATTCGATCGCGAGCGGACGACAAGCCTCGAAGCGCGATGCACCAAACGCTAGCAGTGTTTCCGTCTTGTCGTGGTTTTCGCTACAGCATTCGGTGGAGTCAACAACACGTTCAGTGGTGGGTAAGACGTCTCACTCGAGTTCCTTTAGAATAAAGCTCAGCGACACCAAGACGCCCGCTATCGCGGGTCCGCACAGCATACCAACGACCGGGACTATGAGTTGAGTATGTCAGTTTCTCTGCGAATAAAACTCCGGAAAGAGAAGACAACCGGGAAAAGGGAATAGGTACTCACTGAATTGTCCCGGTGACCAAAACGGGAAGACGCGCATCGCGAATTGTACTCCTAGGACAGACACCGGGATCGTCGAGGCCAACATCGCGATTAGCACGGCACCAAACTTGAGAAAAATTTAGTTCCTCTCGCTAGAACATGATGAATAGAGGGCAAGACGCGCGTACCATATCTTCACATCTTTTCCTGGCCTTGATCACGACTAAATTTGCGAGGGTCCCGGGCGAATTAGCCAGAAGAAAGGGGTCAGTGATGAGATAATGAACGCACCGATTTCGAACGTGCCAAGCAAGTTCAGCAAAACTTGGGGAATCAACCTTTAAAGTCAAGGTACCGCCACCAAGCATACAACGGCGTACTTACATGCTATCCCCATAACCGCATAAAAATTCTCGGCTGCAAACACGTGCCGTAGGATAGTCGCCATAAGAGCGAGCTGCACGACACAGCGCAGGGCAGCGATCATGATAGAAGCGCCGACACCGAGCTGAAGCACTTGCGAGATTATCGAATTAAAAGCGATGAAGGTGAGGGCGAAGCCGACTTGAGACCAGCCAAGGTCCGCAACTGGCTGACTTGGTAATGTATCCATGTCTGTCTGTTTTGGTACGATCTTTGTTCTTTTCCTTTGGTTGGTGGGCGGGAGACCTGAGGGAGAGAACCGTGCATTAAAGAATGAAAGCCGAGGAGTGCGTTTTTGGAAACCTTTGATTTTGTGGATCCCGTCAACAAGTGCCAAAGGAGTTATGCACGTAAGCGATAAGCGGGATCGAGTAGACGATGTTTCAGCGAGAGAAGGAAGGCAGACATCAAGGTCATCGCCGACAAAAGCTTCCTCGAGCACACGATGTCGCACCAATTGGCGAATGCCAATGAGAAGGCAGAATATAGAGGGAGAGGAGGGAATGAGTATATTAGAAAGTTGTCGTACGCACCAGAGAAGAACTCGAATTGTTCTCGTTAAAGGATGTACGGCAACGAGTGTTTCGATGTCTGTATCTTGCCTCGAGAGCCTCGTGAGGCGAGGGATGGAATGGAGAAGAGAGACGGCGTCATGTTTGCGGACGGCGCATTGCGTATACCACTAGGGTAGTTCACTTTGGGTTTTCGAGTAGTTTTCGTTTGCGATTTCAATTTGGTTTTGTCAAAACAGAAAATCTGACCGATGTGTCGGACTTTAAATTCACACATGGACGGGAGGGGCACATGATCTCCCTCATGCGAATCAGTGGCGCTTTTCTCCCATGCTCTCATTCGTGAAATATCAATATCAGCTCAGGTTCAGGTCCAGGCAGCGTCAGAATGTCTTATTATCTAGCACGTCATCCGCGTGCACATAGCCTCATTCAAGGTACTGGCGGCCAACTTAAAACTTCAGCATGAACTTCATGCGATTACTATGTGAACGCCAATGGGATGCATGTAGCGAGTCCATCAACGCCATCGACAAGCCCATTGTTCAGGCATGCATGTCGGATTTCCTCGCGTCTTGGTTCCTTGCCCCTGCCCCTCGTGTTCCCCCTCCCAGGCTGGCACCTCTAGGTAATGAAGTTTATCATATTGTTGAACCTGTTTCGTAGTTTACATGTCAATAAACGCTCTACCCGTCATGCATACATACTCATGTGGGTTTTATTCCATGTCAGTACCTCTTCCTATATCCCAACCTGCGAAAACCCATACCTTGGTGTACGGTTTACCAGGGCTGGGCTACCAGTTACTTAGTTACCCGTGACAATCACTCTCAGGCTTCCGCCGTCATACTTGCTTTAAATGGAGCAAAATCTGCCTCTTGGTCCACACCGAAATCGGCTTCTAGTGGGGAGATCAAACCTGAAAAGAGTTCTCATTCCGAAAAGGAATCTGAATTATGAACCGAAAACAATACGAAACTCACACGAAAACTGCACTCTGACTTCTCTTGTAGATGACGGACAATCAGCGTGCTCCCGGCCGGGCCACCAAGCGATATTTTCCGCATCTCGTGGAACAACCCGTACGGACTACTATATATATATCATGATAACAGAATCACCAATGCAAACCTCTTTTGCCCATGGGGCACGTCTCCAACGAATTGGATGTAGAAAAAAATAAATGCCAGGACCGTGGATTGAACACGGGACCTCCAGAATGCTTGGTTCTTCAGTCTGTTGCTCTCCCAGCTGAGCTACCCCGGCGTACAATCCATTTACATTTATAATTATCTCATTTCGATTCGCGGGGCTCCGTGGCTATGTTTTTTTTCATGACTGTTATATGCTCATGGCAACATCGTGGCTTCAACACGGTTCAGCTCCATGCCTTACTCCGTGCAAATCAAGAACCAAGAGCATGGTTGCCGTCACTTGTCCTCGACTCATCACTGACTTATCCTACATGCGCATGGAATGAGTGAAAGTGAAACACTATGGCCGGAAATCACTTTGAGGTAGTCGTAAGTCAGTTTGTTCTCAGTACCTGTCTTCTGGCAAGTCACGGAAGTGTACCGACATGCCTCTGTCTAACGCTCGTCATTCTAGAAGGATCCCGGGCCATCGATGTATTGACTTGCATAAGCCCAATGGCACTTGGAGATGGTCTATCGCTTGATCTTTCAGTCTTTATATGTTTCTGCCGTTTTGCGGGGTCATTTTAAGAGTTTCTGAACCTCGCTACTCTTGCCTGTGCTCCACTCCACTTGCAAAAGCTCGACGACTACAGTGGAGTCGAGTGTCATATTTCTGGACGACTTCTTGCGTTTCTTCAACTGGTCGCATTTCAAGTCATGTTACGAAGGTCTTATGGTCTTGCCGAGCAATATCGACTCGCTGGTACTTAACATCACCGTGACAGTTACATGCTCATTTCCGAGTGGTTCCTCCGCACCCTCCCCTCCACTACCGCGTGTTTCTGATGACTCTTTTTCGTCTCTGACCCGATTCCCTCCGATATCCTCGGTGTTTTGTCTCTTCCCCGGCTATTCTTTACTCGACAACGCTTCGGAATCCGCTTCCATAATGCCCGGAATTTCTCTGGATACTAAAGTCCAGGGCAGCGATGACGGCAAATTCTAGGTTGAAATCCCTGGCATAGTACCGACCTGCCAGGAACGGACCAGCCTTCGGTCCATTATCCCGGAGATATGGCGGACACGGAAATGAAAACTAGCCATTTCCCGTCGATTCCTTTTGTTGCAAGTCGAGATCCAACCATGGTAAGGTGTCGTGTTCGACGTGTGAGATAGGCACCTCAGAAACCCCTTGTCATCGCTCCGATTCCCGAAGTCGGAACTCCAACGATCCATTTCCTGAACTGTCTCTCCAAGAGCGGATAATTCAAGCTGCAGCTATGGTCTCTACTCTTAGTTTTCTGGAATTTTCACACGTCGTCAAGCTCCCACCTCTATGGGCGCTCCTTTTCCATTGATAGACTTGTCCCTCTCCGTGATGGTCACGGTAACGACTACAAACGCCCAACTCAAACGATTTGCCAGTTCAGTACCACAACTCGGATCAGAATCTGTATTCCTGCCATTCATAGCGCTGTTAGAAATGATAAAGGTGCAGATTATCAGCTCGAAGCGTATAGAAATGTGATATTCTAACACTTTATTTCGCGGGATTTGCCGCGGGATTCGAACACCCAACGCGATGAGAAGGGTGATTCACCGAGGGCCTTACTCTACTTACCACGCCGCGACAACGTGGCAGTCTCACACCATATCAACGTTTCTCCCTCATTCTGCAACTTACTTCAACCAGCTCAAGTCCCCGTGAATCGAATGCAGCTCTACTACCCCCATCCCTCCTCACAGGCTGAGGTACAACCTCACGCATATTGCTAACGATATTTTAGCTTCTTGGGTGTTATGTCTTCTGATCCAAACCAAGACGCTGGCGCGCGCCGTATCAAGCGCAAGCCGCCGCCGCCATTCCCATACTCTCCACGCTACCCTGAGCCAGACCCGAGCGACCCATTTGCCCCGCTTTCCGTCCTCCGAGATCGTACCACGACACTCACCAATTCACCATACGAATCGCCGGTTGCGATTCCGGACTCAACCTCTGGGCCTTCCAGGGTGCTTGACCTCGCTACCTTCATCACGCACCAGCGCGAAAAGTCAGCTGCACTCGGGTCCTTATTTGGTGGGGAAAGCGGCTGGCAGGGGCATATGTCCCAGTTGCGTAAAGGAACGTCCATGGGCCCTGGTCTGCACGAATATTCTTCAGGAACTGACTTTCCGGTGGCGGCTCCCTCCACACTACGTCCAGGTGTGAGAGAGACACAACGCCGCGAGGCGCGGCGTCGCTCACAATCGGTGTTTGCTTTGCGATCGGGCACATTTTCTTTCCTGGAATCGCGCCCTGGACCAGAGTCCTCTAACGTGGAGAGACGGCACTCGCTGACTCCGTATGATAGCCGCACGAGTGTAATTACGTCTTCTTCGACCTCGTCATGGGCGTCTACTCATGGGGAACGGAAGGCGAACAAGACCTCTCCACGACCACGCTCATGCAGCAGTTCGTTCGTGTCCGCGACTTTGCTCGACGGTGTCCCCGAGGTGCCGACACGCAAGAGTATGCAAGTTGATACGCCGGCAACTAGTGGCGTGGAGAAACGTTCACTGGCAGAAAGTACTCCGCCCGTCCTGCCGCCGCCACTCGAGAAACGGAACCCATCTGACTCTTCGACTGGCTCATGGTCCCGCGACCTGGTCTTCTACCCTGCTCCTTCTCGCCCGCAAACTCCCAGTTCGATTCGGAGTAGCCGTCCTGTCTCCCTGCCCCCATCGGCCACGCTTTCATTTCCCTTTGTGCCTGACAACCTCCTTCCTACCAAGCCAGCACTCTTCACCGCTTCACCCGTGACGTCTTCTACGCACAACGCCACTCCGATTCCATCAAACCTTGCAACCTCTCTCCCACCCAAGAATTCCGACTCCCATAGGGTTCCCACGCCGGAAGACCGAGATGTCTTGCCTCCTCAGCTGAACGTCAGATTCCCAAGGCGAGGGCAGTCGGCCGAATCTGAACCTGAGTCGGTAGAGCGTGAGAGTGGGCGTTTTGCCCGACTGCGGGCACGCACATCTGCGGCACTGCAGACACGGAGAAGCAGCACCTCATCATCGCTGCGCAGCACACTGAGGGCAGCCACAGAGGCTGCCGACAAGCTTGCTGCCGAGGATGCTGCCTATTGCATCGCTTCCCCCTGTCGCATATATGCGGGTCACACAAGCGCCGGTCATCTCTGTGTCTGAGAGCACAAAAGCGAGATCGCTTGCTACAGGGACTCCCGAGTCGAAGGATCCGGAGGGGTCTCAACGCATGGGTCCACAGATCGGAGGCGGTGGGTGCGGTGCTGAGCAGCCGGCCTCAGCTCCTTCTGCTACGCACGCATCTCAGCCAACAGGACATGGACTGCGTTCTGGCTGTTCGGAGCGCTCAGCTTCCTGCGGAGCTTGAGCGGGACAGTCCTCCCAAGCCCGAGGTGAAGATTGAACTAGAGTCTGTACCCTCGCTTAAGAGGCGACGAGCGTCTCGGGGCTCGTACAAGGGTACAGCTCGACGAAGTTCCTCGACACCACTACCGTTGTCGCGCCCTCTGCCAAGTCCGCCAACTATTACCAAACATCCAGAGCCCATGGTGAAGCTTTCACCCACGCCCCTACCCCGTGCGCATGGTCCTGGGTTATCACATCCGCAAGTCCAGCGATATCCCACGGCACCGACGTCATTGATGGGCGGTGCACCACAACCAACTTCGCATGTTATTCGTCTAACACCATCTGCATCTTCCCACATCAGTCTAGCTGCAGGTGCAACTCAGCCTCGTGTGGTACATGTATCCACCTTCGCAGCTCCGCATACTACATCCCCCATACCTTCAATACAGATCGCCTATCCTCGTCCATCTCCACCTCCACCACTTTCGCGTTCCATCCAGGGGATGCCAATGTCATCAAGTACGGTGCACGGCTATGCCTCAACAACCATGCGGTTGACATCTTCAAATTCTTCTCGTTTTGACAACATGTCGACGATGTCTGCCCCTCAATTACGGCGTCGCGACGCCTCGCCTTCATCATCACATGGCTGGCATAGCTCTCATACGTCAGAGCGGCTTGGACATAATCACCATCCCCCACATCACCCTGTACCGCGCTCGCTTTCAGAGCAAGGATTTCCGGGAATTTTGAGCTTACCACAGCTCGCGCAAGCTGCGCGCATTCCCGTCGTGCGCGAGAACGGCGTGCGGGTGCAATTCGGAGAGCTATGGCGTATGCAACGCACTGTAGCGATCTTTATCAGGCATTTTTGGTACACCGCATTCTTTGTTTAATAGGCTATGCTAAATTATGTTAACCACATCACATCACGCAGGTGCCCTATGTGTCAGGACTACCTCGCGTCGCTCATGCGAGATGTCGATCACGCAGCGCTCGCGCGAACTGGCGTACGCCTGATCGTGATCGGATGTGGCTCGTACGGACTTATCCGCTCTTATCGCCGTGCGCATTCTTAATCGCTTATCAGACAGTACTTATCTAATGATCATCTCGCAGAAATATTCCGCCTCCCCTACGAGATTTTTGTCGATGCGTCGCCAGGGCAGATACTGTACCGCGCTCTCGGCATGGGCCAAATCCCGTCTGGCGCACATAAAGCGCGCTTCTCGACGGAGGATGCGGCAGGATCATACGTACGACATGGTGCAGTAAGCGGGTTAGCAATGGTCGTTGCTCACGCACTACGCGTTGGGATGCCCGTGTGGGAGCGGGGCGGAGACGCTTCGCAGCTTGGCGGTGAGTTCGTGCTTGGGCCAGGGTATGTCCACTTTGAGACTCCACCGCTCCTCTTCTATACATCTGATGTCCGATCGGGTGCCAGGCTGAGTTGTACGTACGTACACCGCATGCAGAACACGGCTGGACATGCACCAATCGTGGACGTCCTCGCCGCGGCGGGGGTGCGCGCCGCGCGGAAGGTCCCCGGAGCCGGACCGAGACCAAATATCAGTCTCCCATTGGGGCGTGGTGCTGATGCGCGTGACACCAAGGTACTGTCTGTTGTACGAGAGGAGGCATGCGGCACGTGTGGCGCGTGCGAGGGGTGCGCAGAAGCTCTGAACATCGAATTGGAATCCACGGCATCGGGCGAGTGGAGCGTCGTTGTGAAAGGTAAGGCACTTTGAGAGTCTT